GCTGGCAAATAAAATTTTGTCATGATGCTAGTTTGCAATACTGTGGATGACTATGCTGTCAGTTCACTTGGGAACACAAATGTGAACATGTTAGAATTAAAAAAATAATAATAAAAAATTTTTTAAAAAATAAAGAGAATTTCTTTTCTATATGTATGCTCTCCACCAAGAATTCAGCATAGGGATGTTACATGCATAACAGTGAGTTAAAATGTAATAGAAAATTCAACCTATTCTTTCTTGTCTTTACACATACTTGGGAGCCGTTTCCTTTTTGTCATGAAAATTAGTCCGTGTGATGAGCAAAACTAATACTCTAAAACTAATAATCTAATAGTCTTTCTTTTTTTTCTCTTACTGTTATTGGTTCATCAACAAAATACATAAATTGGGAGGTTGATTTTTAGATCTGAAGGTTTATAGCAGTTAAGAGTTCAAAATAACATGATGGGAGTTCCTGCCTCCTAGTCCAAGATCTTCTTACATGAGTTTGGGTTAGTCACAAATTAGACTAAATTCTGTGTTAAAACCTACTTGATTCATTGGCATTTCTTATTTTTACGTGTCTATACATCAGTACAAGGCACTCACACTGATCCCTTCCTGAAATTAGACTAAGCTAGGCACTCACACTGATCCCTTTCTGAAATTCGACTAAGCTAAGTATGTTCTTTCACATTTCATATTTAATGATACTTCTTGCCAATAGATCACTATTTTAATAACAATTGTGTTTGAAGCCTGCTATTTCCATTATAGTATTATAGGAAATCATTGAATTTCTCCCATTTTGGTAATTCCTTATATTATTAATGTCGTTAATTGGCCATTGAATAAGTTGGTTTCTTGATAAGTTTTGTGAAGGATTCTATGCTAGCCAGCCAGTTAATTTTGACTTGTTTAAGTCACGTTGATAGTGCTCTGTGCTTCACTAGCATGGTTCTGTTTCAAGCACGTCTGTCTTGGTGTCTTATTGAGACAGGTCGACAGAAGCATTTGATGAGATGAGCGGCCCAAGTAATCATGTAGACAAAGATAACATGCACCTCAAATTCGTAAGTTCCAGGTACTGAAAACTCGAGTGACTAGACTTCCATATCTTGACTAAGCTTTGTTTATCAGTGCATTCTCTTTTACTTTCATGCAATGTTTTACTGATCTCATATAATCCTGTAGTCTAGCGGCCGCACGCCCAGCTGTGTGTTCGTATGTTCCACTCGATTAGGGTCAACCTGCAACGTGTTTCTGATATGATATTTTCCCCTATTCTAGCAGCTGCCAGCTGTTCACACTCGACTCTGTGTGTTCTCAACTGAATTATGGTCGACCTTATCGCTGTCCATGGCATCGCGATTCTTTATTTCCGTGCAATATGTTTTATTATCTGATATTATCCCATACTCTCTGCGTTGGTGCATGTGTACAATCTGATAAACCTAGAGGCGACACAAGAATTGAGATTAATGAACAATATAAAATATGTATGATCACAACGAAGGAAACAAGATTAAAGGAAATTGAAGAGAGATTAGGAGAGGAATCGATGTTTTATTAAAGACAATAAGTGGAGAAAATACAAAAATTCAGCAATAAAGCTTCCCCAAATTGAATGAAGTGCCACATATTTATAGGGATATACCAAACCCTAAAAATATCATAAAGATGGAAATAATATAAAAAATAACGAGGAATGAAGGAAATAATATTTTTTCAATAAAATTACGTGAAAATAAAGAAACAATATTTTTCAATAAAATTACATGAAAATACTGAAACAGTACTTAAAAAAAAATCCACCCTAGTTTGGGACACAAAATTTAACAATCTTACTTTGACTCAAATCTCGGTGCAATGAACAAAATTCCAAAATTTCTCCACCAAAAGAAATATGTCCGATTGTATCAAAATAACCAAGCTCCTCAAACAATAACTATAACTCTCCACATCATGAAAAACATCATCCTCTGCCTCACATCCACAAGCGACACTCGAACCTTAATCCCAGGTTTCCAAAATTCCAACAAGAAATAAATATTGACCAAATAGGATCTAAGCATAACCTATACCAGAATCCACACAAAATGCTTGAATTGAAAGCCTTTTACTAAAACTGACACCTTCAAATACACCGAAAGCATTATCATTAACATCTGCAACACCATACCTATGCTCAATGAGTTCTACCTTAGCAATTGAACATGATGGAATTGCAGAAACTGGTGGCAAAGCGGAATTACCCATATCATTAAAACTCTCCCAAGTAGTGTCCATAATGTTACCAAATCTGTCCAAATGTCCCTTAACTAATTCTGTGCGCCCCTGCAAGATATACAACCGAGACATCTTCCGTCGATCCATACAACCCGGACACCCTTTTGACCTACAAGACTCCATATCTACTAGAGAACTTGTACCCCCTTGAATCCGTGGGATTCAGCGAGATGAGATTCTTCCTTAAGTTTGACACATATCGAATCTAGCCTAGTGTTCTCACAATCCCATCCTGCAACTTCAATTTGACCCTATCAATTCCTGGTTGTTTCCCATGATAACTTCACTTTGCTTCACCACCTCATATGTTTCAAAGCAGGTCCTATTGGGACACATATGAAACAAACAAGTTGAATCCAAAATCCATTTCTCATCCGGTTTAGATTCCATGTCAGATATGGTCAACATTGCATCTCCACCATCCAAAAAGTCCTCGACAATATTGGTCTCATCCAAATTACATGATTTCCTCCCATGATTTGCAGCTAAATTATCTTTAACCTGCTACTTATCGCAATCTTTTTTGATGTGTCCTTTCCTCTTGCTATAGAAGCAATACAAATTGCTGAAGTTCACTTTTGATCTACCCCTCCGTTAATCACCATGAGATATCAGAGCATCCTCATCCCTAAATATAGCTTCAACCTGATGCTCTATCTTCTCCTTTGAGAATAAAGTATTATAAACATCTTCAATGGTAAGTGTATCACGACTGTACAAAATCGTGTCCTGGAATGACGAGTAAGAAACGGGCAGCGAATACGACAGGATCAAGGCTAAATCCTTTTCATCATACTTAACCTCCAATGTTTCCAAATTCGTGATGATTTCCTTGAACAGAGCAAGGTGGTCTTCCAGCGATCCTCTTTCTGCCATGCGATAGGAATACGGTCTTTGCTCTCTAGATGCAGTTTGGTTGAAAGACTTTTAGTTGTGCACAGCTGCTTCAGTTTCAACCACAAAAAAATCGTTGTTTTCTCCTTCAATACGTCTTGTAGGATGTTATTGGAGACGTGAAGATAAATCTGTGATAGAGCTTTCCTATCTTTTCGTTGTTTCTCCTCTATTGTCCAATTTGCTGGAATCTTATCAAAACCTATCGTCTAAATTCATTTGTGCCAACATAGCCCTCATCTTTACTTGGTACAGCGAAAATTTCGTATTGCGATCCAGCAGCGGAATATCATATTTCAATGTAGCCATCTTTGAAAAATCCCAATCAAATCACGGAGAACTTGCAGCCTAACTCTAATACCACTTGTTGGACGGGGATTCGATGCGATAATATAGATTAATGAATAATATGAAATATGTATGATCACAACGAAGAAAACAAGATTAAAGTAAAGAAATTGAAAAGAGATTAGTAGAGAAACCTATGTTTCATTAAAGACTATGAGTGGAGAAAATACAAGAATTCAGTAATAAAACTTTCCCTAAACTAAATGAAGAGCCACTATTTGTTGGGACATATCAAACTCTAAAAATTTCATAAAAATGGAAATAATATAAAATAAATGTGGAATAAAGGAAATAATATTTTTTCAATAAAATTACGTGAAAATAAGGAAACAATAATTTTCAATAAAAGCACGTGAAAATTAGGAAACAATACTTTCCAAAAAATCCACCCTAATTTGTGGCACAAAATCTAATAATCTCCACCTTGACCCAAATCCCGGTATAACGAACAAAGCTCCAAATCAACACATCTTCCGGAACCTAGCTACTTGCATGTGAACTGCATGCGCGTCCCGACTGGAGGTATATGCTCTTTCTTGCGTTTAGGAAGTGCAAATGATACGTGGAGGGTATGGATAAAGAGACTCAGCATGTGAGTTTGACTGAACAAATGGACAAAATGCAAAACCATGCATGAATATAATTAGAGTGCGTATGGAGACTTTTGCTGTCATTTTCTGTCTTTATATTATATCCCACTTAGTTTCCATCTCTTGTGCCCATGTGCCCATCCACTAGGTTTCTTCTGATATTTTTATCGGATAATTTGTGTATACATCAATTTTTATTAGCAATGCTGGGCATGACTACAACAGACAAGATTTTTTTATTTTTATTTTTATTTATTTATTTATTTTTTGCCCTTTAACGTTATCAAGTACTATCCAGGGCACCATAAGACAAAATATACGTGTTTCATTTACATTACTTGGGTTCCATCTCTTATGCCCATATGCTCAATCCATTAGGTCTCTTGCCACTTTATAAGGGATAGTTTTGTATATTCATCGAGCTGTATAGCCATGTCTGGTACACAGTATCACGCAAGGTAAGCAAATGGTATATAAAAATAGAAGATTTTAACATTCTCTAAAATATTATCCAATATTGCTAGCACTAGCAAAAAGGTTGTGTTTAATACATTGTATATGTCAAATATGCGTGCAAAAATATAATGTTTGTCGATTGGACAGAAAACATACATATTTAGAAGGATGGAATTTTTTCATTTCATATAACTTGAAAGATAAAGTTTGCTTTGATATTCCATTGCAAATGAACATTGAATATTTTAAGTTTACATCATCGTTATAAACGAAGGAATTTTGCTGGAACATAGGCCACTCTTCATCTTTATTTGGTTTTGTATACATTGTTTATTGTCAATCAACTTTAATAAGGGTGCATTCGTGTTGCCATCCTCTTGATTTTGGCTTATCTAAAATCATTGTGACTGGGTTGGTGAATTCTTTGTCAAACATGATTGATGGGTTTTATTCATACACATCACATTGCATTAATTAAATTTGAAGGATTTTAGGAATTTCAACCTTCCTTATGAGTTGGGTACTTTGTGAGGGTTATATTCAAACCCACATTTCTTTATAATTACATCATATTTTAATTGTATTTAAAGTTTTTAATCTTTACATGATAACATTTATACCCTTAACTTATTTTTTTATATTCTTATCTTTGACTTTTTTGTATTAGCAAATTTTGTATTTAATGAAATGGTATTCATTCGAAAATTTTGCTAGGGTACTTTTAAACTAGAGACAAATATTTAGCCTCTTTTTTGGCAAATTTATAAATAATTTAATTACTGTTCTAAAAAGTGGAGAGCGTGATTAGACGTGGAGTTGAAGTTTCAAACTTTACGAACTTAGGCGAGGTTTAGGTATGAAAAAGCGTTTTGTTATTATAATATTATTTTAAAATTTTAATCATTTTAAAATTCATATAATAATTGAAATAATACATACTAAACATTTAAAATTATAAAATAAAATATTTACTTAATAGATTATTAGTCAATTATACAATTTTCAAGTTTTTGAAATGTAAAAATTAGAATATTTTTCATAATTTCAATTTTCAACTAGATAGGTCCTATTTAATAGATTTATGAGAACTTTATACATGGTTTTGAAGCTTGTAATAAAACGAATCTCAAGATCATCATTACATAATGTAGATAACATTAAAACTTAAATTTTATTAACTTTTTAGATAAAGTCATTTTTAACTTTTGTACAAATAAAATTTTTTAAAAGCTTGAAATTAAAGTCAAATAAGAAGTTTTTTTTTAATAATAAAGCTATAATAAAATAAAAGACTTTACAAAAAAAAACTAATAAAGCGCATCCAAGGAAGACAGAAAAAGTAAAGGAAAAGATTCAATTGTTTAAGAATTGGAAGTACAAAAAAGTCTAGGTGCAAAGTGAGGTGTTCTGTCCGAGTTTCAATTCTAGGCGGATTTTTTTAAACACTGCATTAACTAAAAGATTAATGAGTTTTAAAAAATATGTGGATAATAAATAAGTAGTGGTT